ATATGCAAGAAAGCTAACGAATACACGCGAATAAACATCTAACTCTCGAATTCGATTATGTACTTTTCTCTTGAAAGTTGTTCGAATATTGGAATATCCGAACAACTTTTTTCCACGATTTCTTATATACTGAAACGTTCGAATAACTTTCTCTCAAAATTCCTCGAATATATTAGGCTGTCTCATAAGTTTTTTTCAATTTTGAGTTTTCGAAGCAATAAGTCATAGGCCCGTAGTAAAGCTCGATCAGTTTAGGTGAACTGAACTTATCCCATCAGTTCACCGCACGTCAGGTGAACTGATGACCGCCCACCCTACCATGCTATAGGAATGGCGAGTGAACTGATAGTTGACCATCTGTCCACCTGCTGCAGTCAACTCTTCCACGTCAGTTCACGTTCAAGTCACCTGAACGTGAACTGATGTTAGAGTGATGCAAATAGTGTATAGAAGAGGAGACGCAGACAAGACTCCCGTAAGTTGCTCCTGAGTAACTTACGATACACATCAGTTAGGCTAAAAATGCTGACAAAATCGGCGCAAAACTGCACACTTTTCCTCGGCGGCGTGCTTGTAAAAATTTTGGGGCATTTGTGTGTTTTGATTTGATTTTGATCGGTTCTGTTTCGATTTTTCAGCGCGAATACTAGGTAATCTTACATCATTCATTATGATTTGAAGTTACTTTTTAAGGAACATGGTTGTTTCCGTCGCCAAATGCGCTCATGAAAAGCCTTGGGTACGCACCATGGCGCGGGGCATAGTTCGTGCAGTGTTAACTGATCCTTTAACTTCAATGGAGAATGGACTACATCTAGCTTCATCGGAATCGGGGTTTTTGCACAGCAGCAACTCCAGGCCGCACTAGGTAGGAGTGTAAACTCGGTTTCTGCGGACTCCATTCCTTAAATTCAGGCGCGAAAGGTGGCGACTTGACTAGCGAGCCTATTTATGTCTTTTGGAAGGCATAATGCACGAAATGCTCTCTACATTATTCAAGCGGCTTGCGGAAACCATACATACTCAAATCGTTTACATTGCGGATGCCATGGTAAGCCAACGATTTTCAAGGTTTAGTTATATGAATTGTCAAGCCTGTTTCCTTTCTCGATAATTCTATCCCTGAGTTGTTTCCGCTTTGGTGAGCTGAGCTCTAATTGTTTATTCTAATGCTGAATTTCAAGAGCCGTTGTTTATTGTGCTTTTTGTACGTCGATGGTGAAAACTTTATTAGGCTTTTGATTCTTTTACAACTTGCAGTAAGCTGATTATTTTTTGGCTTTCATAATGAGTGCACCTGAGGGTTCGGGAAGAGTTCACACGATTTCATCGTCGCGATTCTTAGCGACCAGACAACTGTAACATATCATTGCATGTCGATCTTCTTGTATTTCGGTTGTGATAGTTGGTTACGATCAGTCATGTTGGAAAACTGTCAGAACCGAAATACAAGAAGAATGGAATCATTTACGTAATCTCTTCTGGCATGTGTGAATCACGTTTGCTGAATATTGTGGAATTTTCTAGCTGCTATTGCTTACTTCCCAGAACTCTCGAGCTCACTGTTAAGTTCTTTGACACCGGTGATGAGCAACTCGGACAGGTCACCTACTAGGTGGGTGGTTTAGCTAAAAGCTTCCAGCTTTTCAGCTTTAATCTGCTTTAGATTCTTGCAAGGACTATTCAGAGATGCCTCTGATGACAGCTTCGGACAGGTATCATTCTTTTTTGAGTTCATTTTCCCTTATTGTTGTTGGCACCTCGCATTCATGTGTTTTCTGCATTATTCAGGCGCGCATATTGGATATCTTGAGCGCTATTCGGATTGCGAACTGTTCTACGCTACAAAAGATTATGAGCATGATTGATCCATGATTCTGTGTGTTACAAGTGGTCTACAGAAAAAGGCATTCCGAATCTTTTAGGAAATTTTGACGAGGAGGTCCGCTTGAGTACTGTCACAACTGGTGTATTTCAAAATTTTCTTCAGAGGGTCGCCGGAGTTAAATACATTCTTTTTTTCTTGTTCCTCAGATTTCAAGAATGCGTTGCCACTTCCTATCGTTAGCATTCACCCATCTGCTAGGACCGCTTTTGTGAGTAATGAAAGTTTAGTGTTTTCTTCTTTTTTTGAGTTGAGCAAAAATGCAGTGTGCGTGTGTTACGCTGACAATCGATTAGTTTGACAATCTCAAAACGTTTCTGGATTTTGCTTTCGATCACTTAATGCCGCTATTCTTTCACTTGATAAGGTAACGTTTTATGGTGAACAGAACTATGTTCTATTAGTAATCTCAACTTCAGGCTAATAGCACGCATACTCGTTTGAATGCGAGCAAGTGTCCGCAACATATGCTCAATAAGCTTATAAAGTTGGAGGAGTGAACCAGTAAGCTATAGAGTGATTATATGTAGCCGTCTTTGAGTCGTTACTGTTTCGCAGAAAACGACCGTCTGAAGTATTGGCTGTGTTAGCTCCTATGAAATGGCTACTCCTAATGAGAGTCCTCAATGCACAGAAGAAAGTGGGTAAAGCAAAGAAAATAGTCCAAATCTGCAAAGGTGTAGCAGTTCACAAATTATTCGTTGTGTTTGGCAGTCCTAATCATTATTATCTGTTTCCGTTTCTCATGTTTTCGTTTCAGTGTCACTACGGGTATAGTTGCCAAATGACCGATAATATTAAATGTATAAAATAAACGATTATTCTAATCAATGGAATTCGATTCTTACAGAAACACTGTTGAGAAGGTAAATTTGTAAGACACAAGGAGAGTTGAATGAAGGTGGTGTTTACCGACAACAGGGAACACAAATTCTTTGCTAAGGTTCTGCGTTAGCCTTTGTTGCCTGTTCAATTTAGATTTTCATCGTGCACAACATCACAAAGGACTTTTAACATAAGAAGACACACTAAGGTCTTATTGACTAAAGCCTCTGTTTTTGCGGAATGGAAGAAATGCTATAGAAACTTTGTCACACTTCATCACAGAACATCAAACATCAACACATGGTCCTACTACAGTTCGCGATCTGTTTCTTGTAACTGATGACGGCATTTCGAAAAAACGTCTCGTAAAGAAGAGTGCAGAGTTATGATGATTTCTTGAAAAGACAGCAATAACGACATGATGCAGATAAGAAACTCTGACGCTGCTTTAGATTGTGGTTTGAAAGAGCTATCATGCGTTATGCATGATAAAACAGCACGCAAGCTACTTACGAAAAGATAAAAGCTGGTAAAATCAGAATAGATTGTCAGTGTCATTGTCATTGTTAGAATAAAATAAATTATTCCAATCTCGATTTCTTTGATGTTCGGAAATCAACCTCGCGGCAACTACGATGTTGACAAAGACCGAATTTTTTGGGGCATCGCAAAGCCACTCGCGCTGCCCCGGAACTGAACCTCCGACCCTTAAGGCTACGCCAACCTCTTCGCCACTCCACCAAACGACACGTTTCTGTTCCGTCCATGATGGCTATTGGAGCGTATCACCTGCATGATAAGGTATGGATCTTCCGATCAATGGGTCGCCGGATGCTGGAGTGAGGCGCGATGAGCTCGCCCCTGGTCCGCGTCAAGAGAGATGCACTGATGGGGGGTTTACTACGGGCCATATACTTCTCAACTTTGATTGAGATGCAGGGTACTTTTCGATAGAGCAAAGCAAGCTCTACAAGATGACATGTAAATGTTTGCACCAGCTTCAGAACATCACTAGTTAGAAGCCAAAATGTGAGAACTTTTGGATGCCCAAAAAATCAAAAAATTTCCTGTGACTTTGCCCGAAGAAAACTTACCAAATTCCAATTCCAAACTCGCATACGCATATACACTCCACAGAACACATTCTTATGTGCCGTTGCTTTGTTTGTATCTGTGCTAGAAACCGTGAAAACCAAATTTTCTAAGCTTCCAAAAAAGCGATGCTGCGCTGTTTTCACACAGGTAAATGTATACTATGGCCTTCAGTAATACATCGATAAATTTTCAGCTTCCTAAAAGCGCTAGTTCTTGAAAAATATCGAATTCAGCTTTTTTTGCTAAGGTATTTTATGCTGAAACTAATATTTCTCGGGAACTAAAGCTCATAGAAAGCTGGAAATCTGTGATTGTACATAGGCTTGCATTACACATTTACCTGTGTAAAAATAGCGCAGCATCACTTTTTTGGAAACTTGAAAATTTTAGTTTTCTCGGTTTCTAGCACAGAAACAAGCACAGCAACGGCACATATGAATGTGTTTTGTGGAGTGTATATGCGTGAGCGAGTTTGGAATTGAATAAATTCACTTTATCGAATACTCAAGTAGTCGAATATTTCGAATTATTCGAATAGAATATTCGGCTCCAACTATAGCCGGTAGGCACACTCATGCGGACAGCTGCCACGAGCTTGTGATGTGAACGGCAGGCAGCAGGAGTCTTGTACCTAAGCATCAAGCATAAGATTTCACTTCAGGTTTCTCACCGGCTACGACCCCGCTGAATCTGCGATCGCTTCTAGGTGTGGTCTCAGTGCCGTGCTTCTGAATGAACACTTAAATTTGTAGTAAGGTCGCTTACAAGCCGAACGCTCAAATCTCAAATCATAAAATCACTGATTTTACAAAAATACGAGAACATGCTATTAGCTGCAATGATCGAAAGCTTGTCAAAAGCCAATTTATATGATTGCATTTGAACCCATGACCTTCACTACGAAAAGGGTCTGGGAACGCATAAGTGGTGCTGTAGAGTGTAAAGGAGGGGGGAATGCAAGGATCGTCTACAAAGTATGTCTGGATCAACAATTTGGAAACCATACTTGAATTACAAATCCAAGCTTTTGAAAGTATGCTCTTTGAAGGGTGCACCACCACTGCCAATATCAGCGTCGCAAAGTCGCTAATACTGTACGAATTTGATTGAACATTGATCGTAGTATTGTTATACTTTTTGAGAAGTATGGGACATGCCTTATTTCCAAGATTTTGGGTAGAATGAGAGGCGGCACCTGTACGTGTGATGATGCGGTTCGGCTTTCATTCCTACGCAGCCCGTATAGGTCAGAAACCCTTCACTATAGTCGTCTATCATCAGAATCTGAAACAACCACCCATATATCAAGGCTTCGAAAACTACAGAGCTACCTTATAACCTTTTTTCTTATACTCAAGAGGTATAAGCTCGTGATCATCCAAATACGTATTGCAGTACTCTTCTTCCGACAGATCCGCTTTCATTCGGGGCAAGTTCATAACCATCCTTTCGACTTCCTCTATTGTTATCCCTTAACAAAGACACAGTGGCTTAACGATTTATTAACGTAATTCTTACTCAAGCATTTTCTAAAGCATTTATTTGTAAAAATTCAATTTTTCTGCTGATAGCGAAGCACTATCGCACCAGAGCTCATCTGAGTGTATAATTTTCAAAACTCCTGTATTTGGCCAAAATAATAGGACACCGTCATACGAATTTAGTTTTGAAAAGTTTTAGATTGAGGCTCGGGTTTCTGAAGCAGCTTTGCATCATGCTGCATCAATCACAAGACAGATTTGCCTTGAACGAGATGGGAACAACAAAAACTATTAGCTTTGTCTTAGAAACTTCAATTTCTAGTCTGGAAAAAAAGAAGGTACGTGCAGATGAGAGCTTATAGAAGATGAAAGGGCTAATAGTGCAATCATAAGTTAGGTCGTGGAGTATAAAATTTAGTATTTTGAGAAAAACAAGGAGCCCAGTTCTTCCATCTAGTCGCCAGAGACCATGTCATAAAGTTAAAGTTGAAGAACCTTGCCTACAGACAGTTTGTCTCTATAGGCATTTGTAATGTTGCCAACATAACGAAAACATGTTCTGGATAGTAAAAATTATGGAAGACTTACCAAAGAAGGCAGGAAAAGCATTAGGCTTGCTATTTTTACCAACTTTGTTGAACTTTCGAAAAGTTATAGCTTCCATTCCATTTATGAGAAAATTCGTAGTACGAGGGAGTGCTCTGAATGATTATCAATTAGTTGAGCATGTTAAGAATGTTTTGTACCGAATGCGAATTTTTAGCAGTTCAAATTTATACAAAACCTCAAAGACGCTCCTTTCTTTACTCAAAGCAATCTTTCGAGCCAAGCCAAAATTTTTTACAGTAACAAAGTCTGAAATATCCGCTACAACTGTACCCAGCGCATTTTGAAAGAAGGAGCGTTACTTTTCTTAAAGGCGGTGTTCGGGCAAAAACTCCATTCCTCGCAGGTTAGCTTACCTGGGGTCATCCGCAACGCTCAATCCGAAAATAGACGTTAGAGAGCGCAAAAACGGTGATAACATGTGTTTCCCAAGTTCATGCAATTTGAGACTGGATGGTTCCCGGAAGCAGAGTGTCGCTTCGGGACCCTACAATTTTAACCGTAGCGGCTTATGCACTCTGCTACAGAGCAGGATTACAATCAGGCGGAGGGCCCCGCCCTAGGGCGTAAGTTCTTCAACTTTCCGACCCTATTTCGGGTTTCTGATTGAACGTTTTGTCATCGCGCGATGGCCTATCAGTGGGGACCTGCCTTCCACTAAAATCCCAAAACCACCAAGTTGTCCGGACAATGCCTTTAAAAGACACCGCCCACCCAAAATTAAGTCTATGAGATTTCGATGTCCTGCCCCGCCCAATCAGTGACTTTGCCTAACACGCGCAAAGGTCAAGAAATCGATCAGGCATAGCGTTTCTTTGCGTCTCTGCTCTGCGATGGGCCCGCAGCTGGCCCGCGGCTTGGTAGAAGCCTTTTAGAAGCTATTGTCGACTCCCCAACTTTGGCGAGGCGGGATCGTGACCTTCACCAAAAATCGATGGATCAGGTATGCCTCAGCACAGGGCAACCGCAACGCAAGGCACGCTAGCGCAGCTCCGCTTCGCCAAAGTTGTGGAGCCGCTCATAATTAGGGTGTTTGTACCGCGGAAAAAACAAGGTTTTTGGAGCGCACTGACTCCAAAAGCAATTTAAGCGTTTGAGAAGAGTAGCGCTCTTCTTTTTGGAATGGATGGGTGCCGTGTATAGCAGATATTTCAGAATGTTACTGTGACTTTACAAAAATTTGACTCGAAATATTTTTAGCTGGAAAACGTCTGTTTGAGGTGTTCTAAAATAATTAACCGCTAGAAATTCGCATTCGGCGCAAAAACATTCCTAAGATTGGTACCGGTTTTCATTCTTGTACCGCGTATACGGCTTTAGGCTGTTATTTTGCGCAGTACCAACGGTATTTTAGTATCTTCCAAAAAGTCCCGCAACTCCAAAAAATATGAAATGCCGTTTTATTATGAGCCGCAATTTATAAGGTAGACAACATCTGGTCAGCGGTCGAGGGTGCTGAGACGCCAAACACTCATTCAATCCATCCGTTCTATGCAGCCTAGGTAGAGTTGTCTAATATCCCAGTTCAGATAAATTTATGCGTAGTGGAAGCATTGTCAAAAGAACTGTGCGCAGCGTAAACCTAGTCATAGAATTCTCTTCTTGATTAACTCTGGTCTGTTAAATTCCATTACAACAATTGATAATTGCTTAGGCAAAATTTTTGTTTAACACACTGGGCATAGGAGCCTTTCTCGGCGTTTTGTAGTGTTACAGCACTTTTCCCCAGGCACGATCCCATTTTCTAAATTCTAATGTTAGAAGATGACGCGTTTGGGGGAGCGAAGACCGTGGAGTTTTGCTTGGGCATTTCTCATAAATAAAGACGAAACTGCGAGCTTGTGCAAAAAACAAAAAGTATGTATAATAATTAAGTTGTAGCCAATCATATATAAATCGTATTTTTCATAAGCTCTAGTCGCCTTCCTGTAAAGTTGTATGTGAACAAACCTTATAAACTGCGACGAGCTCACTGAGTCCAAGATAATTATGTGCAAGTCTGGATGCTCCTCAAGGTTCAGCTTTTTTTCACTTTTGTTCCTATCCACAGAGTATAAGTGAGCTTGTTGTGGTAATAATCACTCACCTTTGCTCTACAATTTGTTTATGCACAAACCGTGCTGATTGGGTTTCATTAAATTGATCCATGCTACATGCTGTCTCAACAAAATCGCAGAGAAACTTAGAGCTGATATCCTCCCACTCTCCAAATTCGATCGTATGCTCATCAGCATACCAAAGACAACTAAAAACGAATGAAGTTCTTCGATAACACTTGAACATTTGAGCAACCCTGTGCAATTTTGTTCTAGTAATGCATCCAAATTTTTAACTCAAAAACGCTTATGATTCGTGTCCAAAGGCGTTTGGCAGATAACGAAGACATGCTTTTTGGAACGCTCGATTCTCAAAACAGTACGAATGTCATGTAAAAAAGCCATTTCGATCCAAAAGTTTTCTTTCTTTAGGTGATGCATACAGCAAACTGTAAAAGTTACCGTCCTTTGCAGACCAGACCAGGTGTATCAGAAACCGAAATCGTTCCATTTGACAGCTCGGTTTTTGGACGGAGATCTTCTCGGATAGTACAATTCTAAAAGTTCTTTTCGCTACGTACATTGAACTCTGACAAAATACCTTGAATCCGTGCTTGTCATGAATGTACTCTGCCACCTCTTCACGCCATGGATCCAACGGCTCGAATGGACAATATTCGAAAATGTCTTTTGCTAGGATTTGCATTATATTTACTTTCAAGCATAATGAGAGACTCTACAATGTCTCAAAACACCTGTTGCTATCTTATGGCCTCCAGTGGTTTGTCGCAAATCAGTGGTTTGTCGCAAATTTGTTGACAATGCTACAAAATCCTTTTCAACGGTCATAGTCTGCGTCTCGGTTGTTGTCCCATTTGTCATCTTGTGTATAATGTTGGTTGATTGGTCTAAATTGCACTCCAAATTCAGAAGTTCTAATGTCGTCAAGGCTTGTACTGATTGATGCAATATACTAATGGCGTACCGAGGGGGGAGTCGCAAAATTTTTGAAAGTTACTTACAAGAGTTATATAAAAGTGCAAATGACTTGTTCATACTTGCAAATAATTAAAATATCTTTGAAAATTTTTAAAAATCCATTTCAGCCTTCTAAAAATTTTTTCGGGGGCGTGGCTGACATCACTTACCTTCATTAGAAAAAATTTTTGTCCCCCCCCCCTCCCCGAGCCGAAATCCTGGGTACGCCACTGCAATATACGTATAGCTTTGAAATCACAAGTTAGCCTCATTTGTTCCTCTTGCTTCAATTATAGCTTGCATCAAATGTGTCCTACATACCAATGATTATTCTACTCAGAATTCTCAGTGCTCAAAAAAAGACTTAGTTAATTAGGAATAGAATTTGGAAGCTGGTGCAGTTATTTTCCTTTTTCAAAGGCTACAGCGCCTATGTGTAATAGATGTCTCATAATCTAAGCTGTAGCTGTAAAACAAACCAAGAATAAAAAACACAAAAGTGACTAAAATAAGGAACTGACTTTATAGCTATGACATCCTTTACACAGGCCTTTGAAATTTTTCTATGTTTCTCCGATCAAAACCACTGAATTCGGCAGTTACCTTGTGATAATGCGTTGACATATGCATAACAGCAAACTTTCAAACAATAATGTTAATAGCAGATTTGATGATTAGCAGGTTGGGTTTGCAGTTATGGCTGGAGTTGTATTGTGTTTATGTCGAATTGCCGAAAAAACTTCGTACGACACTTTATAAACTCTGCTATTACCCAGCACGGAGACGCCAGTTGGTCTTCGGATGAAACTGGTAGGTTGTGTGATAGGTTCTGTTGTATTTTTGTTTTACTTTTTATTGTAGAGTCATCCCCATTGGAACATGCCCTCTCACTAAAGGCTAGGTGAATGTGGTCTCTGTGGTTGCGGCGTACCCGCCGCACCTTGATATATTTGCGTGTTGTTATGGAATTATTCCTAGTGAGCCCTCGGCATGTAGATACGCCGGCATGTAGAGAATGGAACTCTGCTGTTTTTCCAATCAATCGACACGGTTCAATGGTTCGATTACACTTTTTTCTCAATAATCATGACCTTGTCCGCAATAAATCTTACTATAATATCTTTTGGTAACTGCCAAAGCGATGCGACGAGAGTACTCTCCTCCCTCATATGCTTTACCGTTGTGCTATGTGTTCTCTTACAGTGTTAACAGCAGATTCGCGACAACGAGGGCAATCCAGATTATGCGGCGACGAAATATAACTGCGATACATGAACCAACACGGATGTGCTGAGAAACGCCGAGAGAGTACTGGGGAGCGCATGCACTCTAAGAGGATCCACATAGTTTGCATAACAGCGACGTAGAGTTGACGGCGTTCCTAGTTAGTTTCCAGACTGTATGCACTTTAAGTGCATACAGTCTGGAAACTTGCTCCGCATGGAAAGTGCAAATATGGGCAACAGTCGTCAAAGATCACCTCCTCATTCATAAACAAGCAAAGAAGGGATCAAGTGCGTGTTATGTACAGAGCCAAACAACAACGAAATATTGATTCCAGACTACCGAATTAGTGCAAATGTCTGACCCCCAGTTGCTATCATAATTTGGAAAACTGTCTCCCATTTTGCTTCCTATCCTGCCTAACTTCTTACAATCATTAGTTTTCGAAAAGCACATTGTGATTTTGAACAATATGAAGGTTAGGGTAAGAAAATATAACCTATCAATTTTACGGGGAGTGTACTTTTTGAAAATGCTGCTTTTGCCTCTGGAAATAGAAAAAACAGGGGGAGCTACGTCTCGTTGGAAGAAAAGAATCAGTCGATTCATGCGGTAGTACATTTTTCTAAATTTCTAGGAACTTTTGCTAAATTTCTAGGACTAAATGCTGAATCTCACAAAAACCTGTTAAATACTTACTTTTGGATGGTTTTACACTGTGTAAATATTGTTGTGCCTCTGAAAACAAATGAGCAGAGGGAGCTCGGTCTGCTGGAAGGAAAGACCCAACATATCCACTCGAAAACACATTTCTTCCAACTAGATTTTGATGTGAAAATTCACAGAAACTTGCTGCATTTGTTTTTGGCGGCCTCTATTTTGTGAAATCCCTACTTTTGCCAATAAAAACACAGCAGAGGGAGCACAGCAGAGGGAGCTTGTCTTAATGGAAGAAAAGGCCTAGTGTTCGTGCGGCAGTACATTTTTGATATAATTCCCTAGGTTTCAGTGCTGAATGTCACAAGAAGGGCTTGAAATTCAGTTTGGCCGCTTTTATTTTGCGAAAAACGTACTTCTGCTTCAAAAAGCATAAGTCTCGAAGAAAGGAAAGCTTCAAGGACTTTATTCAACAGCGCATCTAGGCTGAGGACTTGTCAGTTTCAATGCTAAATCATGCAGAAGCTCGCTTGAAATTCACTCTTGAATACGCAGAGGGCTCATGCGACAATGCGACAAGACATTTTTGCTAGGATTGTCCAAGAAAAAGCTTTGAGCGAACTTTGGTCTCGCTTTAAGAAATGACCGTTTCTTGGCGAGACGTAATAAGGAGAGTATAGGACTGTGCATGATCGCGAAGCTCGGTGTGTTAGCGGCCGTTTCACAGTTCCTGAGTGTCAGCCTGAGTTTCGGGTTGAATCAGCTGTTCTACATAGATGACTGCTGAGATGGTCTTCATGTTTAGTAGCTGTGGTATCTGGGTAGGGTACTTGCAAGAAGAACAGCGTAGATGATTTAAGAGTTACTCACTGTGAAAAGTTTCCTTGAGAGCATAATCTTACTTCTACTACTGCGTACTTACGTTGCGCCAAGCGTTGAGAAAATGGAAATGATCTTGAAATAAAACTTTGAAATGAGCCTGATCTTGCTTCTACTACTACTTGCATTGCGAAAAAGATCGATGAGAAAATGGGAATTCATCCTCTTGCTAATTTTAGTTGCGCGGACAGTTATCAATGTATCTGCCCCAACCCACTTGCTAGCGACCCGTAGGGTAGCCTACTGCCGCAGGATTTTTGTTAAGAATTCCTTGTTTTCAAGGCTAAATCATAAAAAAAAATCCTTAAAATCCACTTCAAGCAAAAATTCTTGTGCTCTTAAAAGCAGAAAAGTAAAGAAGCTCTGCAAGAAGAACACCGTAGATGATTTGAGAGTTATCATTGTAAAAAGTTTGCTTGAGAGCATGATCTTACTCTTACGACTACATACTTACGTTTCCCCAAAAATTGTTGAGAAAATTTAAGTCCATTTTCTTGTCATTTTAAGTTGCACGCAAATAGTTATCAATGTATCTGCCCTAACCCACTTACTAGCGACCCCTAGGGTCTACTGCCGCAGGACATTTTTCCGAACGATTCCTCGTTTTCAAGGCTAAATTATAAAAAAACCTTGAAATCCATCGTAACCGCGCCTACTTCGCGAAAATTATGCTTGTGCACCCAAAAGCAGAAAAGCGAAGGAGGCTGGTCTCAAAAGAAGGTTAGAGCCATGGGCTTCACAGCAGGACCTTTTTGCTAGATTATCCAGTGGAAAGTTTCAGCGAGCTTTAGTATCGCTATAAAGGTGCCTTCATAGCAGCCCGTAGCCGCAGCTGGCCGCTTTGTCATAGAAGTGCAAAATCATCAAATTCTTGCTATTTCAAGCGCAAACGCCCACGCTTTCCATCTTCCACGCTTTTTCCTCCCTGTTGGCAATTCGATCTCATATATCATACTTGTGGCAATTGCTGTTAAAATCTTGTTGCCGTAAATTGGTTATCATATTGGTGCTCAGTTTCCCTTCCGCAGTTGAAGCATATTTCGCCAAAGTTTCTTTGCGGTGTGATCGTCTGACTTTGGATGCGTCCAGTTTCAGTGTTTATTTTTATGCATGGTTCTGCTTCAAGTATTAGTAGTTTGAAAAATTCAAACTCATACCTTCCGAACAACATGGTTTCGTCAATGGAGCATCAACTGTGACACAACTGATAGATTGCAGACATGACTGGATCAAAGCTTCAATTGATAAAAAAGAAGTGGA